CTGATAGGAAATCTTTAAAAGCTTTATATTCTGGGCTGATTAGGTCAGTATTGGATTATGGGTGTGTAGTATATAATTCTGCTGCCAGAACAAGTCTTCGTAAGCTGGATAGTATCCAATATCAATCGCTAAGACTTTGCTCAGGTGCATTCAAAACAACATCTGCAGCAGCAGTGCAGGTAGAAATGCCATTACAACTAAGAAGAGACTGACATTGAATTACTGGGCAAGTTTACAAGGACGTGGTCAGGATCATCCAACAAAAACTGTTTTCCAACCGTGCTGAGAAAAAGAGAAACGTGAATTGAAGAGCTTTGGGTGGACAGTGGGACAGAAAGCAGCTGAACTTAATCTGGACAAGATCAACATGTCAAACAGCACCGCTGCCTACAATACCACCATGGATGCTCCCTGATGCAGGTGCAGATTTCACATTGTTAAACAAAAAGAACAAGGAGAGCGGTTTATCTTCACATACAGCGCAGGAATATATTAATCAGTATTGTAGTCAAAATCTACACAGATGCATCAAAGAATACAGCCAACCAACGCGGGATAGCCTTTATAGTTCCTGAATTTAATATCAAGGTGGGGAAAAGGATCAGTGACGATTTATCAGTGAATGGTTTCAATATTGTTAGCAGTCCAGTGGACTGAAGAAACAAAACCACTAAGATCTGTGACATGTTCAGACTTGAGCTCATCACCGGCCAGTCTGCAGACAGTCACTCAGACTGCAGACTGACATTCTGATAGAGATCCAGCAAACATGTTCAGACTTGTTATGATGGGGCTCATGGTCACGTTCTTATGGGTACCAGCGCATCATGGAGTTAAAGTCACAACGAGGAGACCGATGGTAGATATTAGTGTGAGTAGGACGGAGCTCAAGAGTAGAATACGATACAAAATGAAGGAAAGGTGGTGAAAGCAATGGGAGGAGGAGAGGAAAGGGCGATGGTTTTATAAAATCCAAAGGAAAGTGGGGGAAATGAGAAGTACAGGAGAGAGGAGACGATTATACCTCGACTGAGATTCGGACACACTGGTTTAAATAGCACATTGTTTTTAACAGGTAAACACTGTACCTGTGTGACTGCAGCAGGGAACAGGAAACAATACAACATGTTTCCTTGACTTGTTTGATATTGAAAGGAGACAACTGATCAAAAAGCTGGACGATATGGATGTGAAGTTGGACTTGATCGATTTGTTTCGCACGACCTCTGTAAGTGAAAGTTATCGGGCTGTATTTTGGTTTTTAAGGCAGACCCATTTGTTCGGGAGAATTTGAATTATTATTTTTGTCATTTTGGTCCACACCATCACGCCCTGCCGCAGCTCTGCAGTCAAAAACAGGCTCACTGCAGCCACTAACAGTGAGTAGTATTAAACTCTCACTAAATTACATATTTTTCATCTCTGCTCACCAGTTTCTGGATCTTTTGTTTTTATTAGACTAAGACTGAACTTTATTTTTCCATGTTTGGCGATGTTCACATTCTGTTTAACTTGTTGCTTTTTTGAAGAAGTGCTGCAGACGAATGAAGCAGTCGAGTGGCAAAAGTTACATATAGTTGCTTGAAATGAAAGTTGTTTGTTTAAAACAAAAATTACTGACTGATTCATTGAATCCTTCGGGGGGATAATAATTCTGCCATGTGAGGAATGATGTAAAAAGACTGAGAACCACTGGTTCAGGGAGATGTTGAAGACGTCAGTCAGCTGATAAGCACAGGCTGTGAGGACAGTATATTGTCTGGTGCAGGGGTGGTTTTCTGTGCTGGCTCCTTGTTTTGAGTCTCAAACCTGGCGTAGAATGAATGAAGTGCTTCTGGCAGAGAGGTGGGGCCTTGTAATGATGGCTTGCCACATTCGCTGAGAATCTCTTGAGCAGGCGAAGTAATCACTGACTTTCTTTGAGCACTCAGGCTTTGTTCGCTTGATGCCCCGGCACAGATCGGGTCTTGTCAGTCTGAGCGCTGCCCAGTGTTGCCAACTTAGCGACTTTGTCGCTATATTTAGAGAGTTTTCAGACCCCCTTAGCGACTCTTTTTCTAAAAAGCGACTAGCGACAAATCTGGCGACTTTTTCTGGTGTTATTGGAGACTTATTTATGACGACTTTTTGAAGTGAAAACGCGTATCGCTCTTACTCTCAACAAGCAGCGGTGCTGCTGTGGGCGCCTTACCCGTGCCAAAGCGCTCACGGGTGGAGGATAGTCCTCCTCTAGCTGCTATCAGGGCAGAAGATGTTCACACCTGTGCGTCCAAACGGCAAATGAATCGCGCATGAGCGAAGCCTCTGCTCCAGCACTGACTGTAACGCAGTCAGTTCTTTTTTTACTGTTATGCTGTTTTGTGGATCACAAGGTTTAAAACTACTTATAAACACACACACACAAATTAACTCCACCAGAGTGCCTATTTCGGGTCACTTTTGCCGGTCCAAGCCCGGGTAAAGGAGCAGGGTTGGAATTGTGACATTAAAAAAACAATAATTGCTAAAAGAAATTTAATTTGTAGTTCTAAATAAACTCTAAATGCATTTAGGACGTTTTTTACTCACTTTATGTCTCTTCCACGATGTTATTTCTCTCTCCAACAACGTAGGTTACAATTACATTAGCATGACCAATTATGCAAATTAGGTAATGACGTCATTTAGCGACTTCTAGCGACTTTTAGGACAGCCAATAGCGATTTTCCTTACTAAGGAGTTGGCAACACTGGCACTGCCTCGTTGTTGGCCTTGAAGGCACCAACCTGTGTTATCAGCAGTTCTTGAACGATGAATGAGCATACTCATTTATGTCTATGTAATGTTCAGTGGTCGCCGCTTCTCTGAAGACGCTCAAAACTTAACTACACTGCACTCTCCAGATTTTATTTTACATTTCTGTTATAAGACCAAACTTAGCCAAGGTGGACAGAAGTCACAATTAGAGCAGGGCGATATGGCCAAAAATATTTATCACGATATAGATTTGAAAATTTGAGATAACGATATAACTGACGATATAATTGATGCAAGACAAAATGCAACTCCACAACTTTGCTAGCGCAAAAAAACCCCCATCCATTTATTTTCACTTAAACAAGCAGCTGTTTTATGTGCATTAAACCTATATAAAAATTTAACAGTGCAAATGCAAAATCCTTGCTGAAAGTTTAACCAAAAGGCATTTCCAGTAGAAATGGGCTGACATATCCTGAGCATAACCATGTATGATATCCACTGAAGTTAAAAAGAGGAGCTTTGCAACATTAAACTGCAGTGTGCCAAATAAAAAAGTCAAATATGTATTTTTCAGACCATAAGCTGCTCGGAATTATAAGACACATTAAGCGAAACAAAGCAGTCAGATAAATCAAACTTTATTCAACTCATTCTTCGTGCTTCCTCCACTTCTGTACCATTGATTCATTAATGCTGAATTCTCTCACAGCGGCTCTATTCCCATGTTGTTGCAGTATATTAATGACTAACCTCATATTGTGGACGGATTATCTCAGTTGTTCTCCTGACTGAAGTTTGGTCCGTTTACAGCATCCTGCCATGCGACTGTATTTGTCTTTAACCATCACGTTAACTTTTATAGAGTGGAAACGTGTTAGCGTTCATCCTCCAGCTTCACTGTGTTTATGCTAACATAGCTGTGTCGCTAGCGATCACGTAGCACATCATTATATAGCAGCTAGCCCAACTTCAGTAACCCTACAAACGTCACTGCTGTTTAGTTTCCTGTCTTCATTTATGTTGGAAGTGATAGCAGAGCTGTACGTTTGATTTTTTTCAGAAATCTCTCAGTCAGAACATGCTATATCATGCTTAGGTAACTAGCGAAACTAGCAAGCTAACTTCCGCTAACCTCCTGCTAACTTCTAACTCCGTTAAATGTAATAAATTCTGTTTTCATGGATGCCTGGATGCTAAACTTCATTGTTACACCTGGTAAAGCAGCAATGCTGATCGTTTTATTACAGATGAAAGAATTTAGGCAGTTATTAACTCTCAGTGACGCTGCAGTGTTCGTTTGACTTTGGGACCTGAACGATCTGACAGACAAACACCAAATCACTTCCACATCACTGAAGTGGCACCATTTTTACAAACCTATTCTGGTTCATCCGTTTCACTCAACGATCCGCTTTCTCCCTTCTCATTCTCCGTTGCCGCCATGCTTTTTCGGCTATGTGTGTATGAAAACAAAGGCACTGCACATGTGGGTTTTACCCATATTCTATCGCGATATTTCATTTTCTTATCGTTGCCTAACATTGTACCGGTATTACCGTGAACGCTATAATATGTCGTAGTCACAATGGAACTGTAGGCTGGAAATGTTCAATTTCAGTTCAGCTGTTTTTTTTTATTTAGCACCAACAGCCGAACACTTAATAAACTGGATGAGGCAGCAGATTTTCTAGGTTTGCACAAACTAGTCTGTTAGTTATTAAGACTGGAATATCAAAAATGGGCAACTGGCAGATTTATGACCTGATGTGTGAAAATGCTCCAACTCTTGATTGAACTTTACAATATACACAAAATATTTTGTTTACAGAGGTAATGAACAACGTCATCAAGAAGGCAAGAGAAAAAGGAAAATGGAAGGTAATTGTCATTAACATCATTATTCATACGAAGTTGGATATCTGTGATTCAAAGATAAACAAAGACATTCATTAAATGTCAGATATAGTAGTTTCCTTTGCTATGTGTGATTTTATTATAGGTTTTGGTGGTGGACAAGCTGAGCATGAGGATGGTGTCCTCCTGCTGTAAGATGACGGACATCATGTCTGAGGGAATCACTAGTAAGTACTACCAACCCAGCCACGCCCAGCTGACCTGTAGCTGTGTAGTTAGTTTAATCTGCTTTAACCCTTAAGGACCCACAGTGACACTGGTGTCACTGCCCCTTTACACTTAGAGACTTGGTTATATATGATTCATTTGATATAAGACCCCCGTAATTTTCATGAAAGTAGAAATAGGTCTGGGCTCTTAAGGGTTAAATAAATCAAATTTAACGCTAATTTCTAATTAAGTTAAATGTATCCAACAGTGTTTACAGTGTGAAAATATTTCTTTCTTTCTTTCTTTTTTTACAAGATAATTGAAATATTAGAAAAGGATAAGATCAGCTGTGTGGTTCCTCGGTCGTTGATCCAGTGTTTAGTTTATTTTCCTCTGTTCTCAGTTTAAAGTTTCTAATTGATTTCCAGTGTTCATGTAATTATGTTGTGAATTACATGCTGGAGCTCAGTGTTCGTAGTTGTGATCTAGTCCCAGAGTTTGACTTCATGTTTATTTTAGCAGTCTGTTGAATACCGGCTGTTTAGTCTTCCCTAAGTATCCCATGCCCGGTGTACGTGTTCACATGTTTTGTTGTTTCCTGTCTTACTTTCCAATCCATCAGTCATGTGCCAGTTTTACTTCCCTCTTTGTCTTTCATTAGATTCTGTTCACCTGTTCATTGTCCTCGTATCTGTATTTAAGCCTTTTCTTCAGTTCCTTGTTGCATTCTACCAACAGGTGTGTTCCAGTATTGTTTTTTACTTTTGCAAGTTCCAATAAAAAAAGCTGTCTTTTATGAGTTCACCATTTTGAATAAAAGTGTCAGATTAAAGACAGGCTTTGGTATCCGTTCCCACCAGAACATTGCTGACTAAATAGTACTTTGACTGTGAGACACATGGCACCAGGTAGTGACGGTGTGATGAAATCCCTTGAATGTGTCGACGTTTTCCAGCCAATTGCTTTGTCAAAAGGCAGATCACACGAAGCTCCGTCCAACAGCTCATTTGGGAGTACTGCTGTGATGATGCATGTGGGCTACATACCAAACGTAATGATTAGGGATGTTACTGGCCATTAATTTCTTAGTTGACTAACTGTGGAAAAAAATTCCACTAACAACTAGTCTAAAATTAAGAAAAACTCAAATGTTAAGTTAAATTTAAGAACCATCCATTTAATGGAAAACATCAAAACTAATATCAGAGGTGTTTTGGAGAAAGCTCATTTCCGCCACTTGTATCCGCGATTTCACTCTAACAGTGTTAACAATAAGATTAGACTAACGAGCTTGGAAAGAAAAGCGCCTGCAGACGTTTCAAGCTTCGTCAGGTCTAATGTGCAGTGGTGGAGAGTCCCAGATTTAAGTCCTGGGGGAGTGTCCCCGAGAGGGGATCCTTTAATCACACGAGTCAGCAGTGTTGGGCAAGTTACTTTGAAAAAGTAATTAATTATAGCTACTAGTTACTTCTTCAAAAAAGTAACTGAGTTAGTAACTGAGTTACAAGATTCTAAAAGTAATTAATTATAGTTACTAGTTACTTCTTTAAAAAAGTAACTGAGTTAGTAACTAAGTTACAAGATTCTAAAAGTAATTAATTATAGTTATTAGTTACTACTTCAAAAAAAGTAACTGAGTTAGTAACTGAGTTAGTAATTGAGTTACAAGATTCTAAAAGTAATTAATTACTTGAAAAGTAACTATTGCGTTACTTTAAAAAAAAGCTTAACCCTCTGGGGTCCAGAGTATAATTGGCCATTTTTAACTACTTTTGATTTTACCTACATTTCGCCTTTAAAAACTATTTACTTTGCCTTGTTTGGTCTCATCCTTTTCAGCACAACCTCACGTGTCTGAATTTACAGTTATGTTTTCATTTTGACACACTGTATTAACACAATTGATCTAAAATCAGACAAAACACATAAAGTCAGGGTAGAAAAAGTGATATTTTTACTGTAACAACCACAAACATGTTTAATGATCATATTTCATAACTTTAAATGCAAAAATAAATTGACCATTTTAAAATTATATGTACAACATCACAGCCTGATACCTGCAGGTCTGACAGCAGCAGGTGTGTCACTCCTGTTTCTACCTGGAGACAGCAGTCGCCTCATTGTTCTGACACACAACACAAAACTGTCCACAACACTACACACTAACTACACAAGACATCACGTCACTCCTAAATCTTCCCCCTCTTCCTAAACAACCAAATATCATGTTGCCATATAATTTTTTTGATTGGTCGACATGGTGCATTTTTCCACCAACACAAAAGGGCCACCTCGACGGGACAAGCCTCAGCTGTGCATCTGCATCTAAAGGTCAAAGGTCACTCTTTCGCGGATGCCAATGCTCACATTTTGGACAGAGAGGACAGATGGTTTGAAAGAGGAGTGAAAGAAG